GGCCAATAAGAGTATTTGGTATACAATTTGCAAGTTTATTATAAGAAAGCTTTTTTTTTCTTTATTTAAAAGGTTTTCAGCCTAAAGGCTGGTTCGCCTCTGAAAGCTTTTTTTAAATGCGTTGAAAATAACCTTTTTTTTTGGTAAAACAATATCAGCAATTAACGCACATGTTTTTAGAACTTGGTAATCAGTTTTAAAGGCACAACAATCAAATTCATTAAATGTTAAAGTTTAACACTAACTTAATTTACTATAATATTACTAAGTCTAAGATCACAAAATATTTAATGTCTTAAAGTTTCATATTCCACGTTAGAGTTCAAGATATTGAAAATTTTAAGGCAAATAATTATATTATTTATTTCAAGTTTGTAATTAGCTGAAAGATCAGATATCTTCAGTTAAGACCCATTAACTTCACAACAGTTGGAGGAACTTTACAGAAGTTCTATTGAATGAAAGGAAATGCTGAGAATGTCAGTGAAGCTTTATAAACAAACTGAGAATGGAAGTTTACATCCTGAAAATATGGGGAACTTACTGGAAGCTGTATGAACCTCAAAGTGGTTCTAATAACTTCCGGAAAACTGCAAGAACTTTTAAGAAGGTCCTAGAATTTCAGAAAGCATCAATAAAATCTTCAGAAATATAGAGAAATTGAGGAAAATTGTGGAAACTTTTAAGAAGTTCTAGGTACTTCAGAAAAGCTAGATCTAAAGATCTTTGGGGAATTTCAGAAATCTTAATGGCAGTTCATGTTACGGTAGTCCAGCCGTTTGGAGCTGGTTAAAGATCTAAAGACTGGAACGCGCATAAATTGGTCGACAAAAAAATCATTTCTTTCAGTCAAAATTCATACCACAAAAATCATCTTATTTTTCTTATGGTAGTTCATTTCATATTTTTAAAGGAACTGCCGTGTCTTCCGCTTAACCCCTTCCATTAAATTTTGCACAGTGGTCTCATCGACCTTATTCGCCGCCGAACGCCAGTTTGATATAAACTGTTGCTAGTTTTCCATGGATTTATTAGTTTTTTTTTTGGGAAATTCCATTTGACCAAGGCCCAATACCGTTCGATAGGGCGGAGATCTGGGCTGTTGGTAGGGTTTGCGTCGTACCACTTGATTGTCTTTTTCCTATAGTGGCAGCTCGCTAAGTCCGGCCAGAATAGCACAGGTCTATAATGTTGCTTTAGGAATGGTAGCAGCCGCTTTTCCAGGCACTCCTGGACGTATGTAGATCTCTTGATTGATGGTTCACATAGTAATGAAAATGCCGCTTTTTAGACCACACGTGCATATGGACGCCAGACGAGATATTTTTTCGGGAACTTTGATAGTTTGATGGTTTTGAAAATTTCAGCCACCTACCCTTTTCCTGATGCGGTATAAAACTTCTGTCCCGGAAGCTGCTTGAAATCCGCCTACACAGAAGTTTCGTCATTCATGACGACACAGCCGAACTTTGTGAGCAGATTCGTATACAGTTTTCGGAACCGCTGCTTTGCCAACGTGTTTTGTTTGTAATCTCGGTTCGCCACCTTCACCTTCTTAAACGTCGACAACCCGGCTCGTTTCTTGGCCCGCGGCCGGATTCCACAAGGAGGGGGGGAGGGTGTCTGTCAAATACGAACAATCGTCGCCTACCTCGCATAACTGGTTTCAAACATAAGCAAGCCATAAGAAACCTACAGGGTTTGTTTACGTTTGGAACCAATTTCATACAAGAATGATCAGTAAGCTGATTTGACAGCACGTCCCCCCAGTGATTCCGCTTAAATTTCACCACCACCTTCTTCGTCGTCGCTGCCACGCCGATTACGATTGCCGCTGATTCCAGGCTTCCTGGCGGTTGATAGACGCTCCCCAAACACTTTTAAAACGTTTGTCACGGTCGATTTGGCCACATCCAGCAATTTTGCCAACTTGGCGTGTGAGAACGTCGGATTCTCTTAAGCGAGCAAAATTTTGACAAGCTGCTCCTCTTGCTTGGACGTCATATTGAAAACGGGAGAGCAAACGGTGAAAACTCATCATAGCAACCATTGTATATACACTCAACTTCCAAATGCAGCATTTTAGGTTTTTTATATGCATTTTTAACAGAAATACAACAATTTGAAGTTGACCAATTTTTGCGCGTTTAAGACTTTATAAGCGGAAATTTATGATCTTAAGCTGTTCCGATAATTTCAGGGATGTACAGCGACCTTCAGTGAATTGAGAGTTTCTGAAATATTTCAGGAGCTTCACAGAAGTTCAGAGACTTTCATGGAAGTTTAAATGTGTTAATGAGAATTCCATTTAATTTGGAGCAGAATCGAGATCTTCAAAACCGATCAAAGAATCAAAGGGCAGTTAAAATAATTTAATTTAATTTGCATAAACATTAAAGAAGATTCGAGATATTCAGGGAATTTGCGGAAACTTTAGCAAAGCTCTGACAGAATTTCTGGAATGCAAAATAAATTATATGAAAATGTGAGAGTATTTTGAGGGTTTTCAAGAACTTTTTTTTTTAAATGGTGAACATTAAGCTAAATTGTTAAGTTAATTAAAAAAATGCGAAAACTTTTAGCAAGCACCGATATCTTCAAGAAACTCCAGAAAACTTATAAGAAATTTAGAAATTTTTAGAAAGTTTCATGATTTTCAGCGCAGATCTGAGTACTTTGCGAACGATCAGCTAACTAAAGAAAAATTCCATTAAGTTAAAGAAGCGACTTACAAGTAGTTCCGTAGAATTATGTGAAATTCCAAGAATTCTATGATTGATCCGAAAAATTCAGAAGCGTCAAGGAATTATGAATATACTTCTATCCGAAATTTTTCCTGAACATCAAACAAATTTAGAGAACTTCAGGAAAGCATTGACAACTTCAGAGATGTCCAAATAAGTTCAGGAAAAACTAATGATATAAGGCAAAGCTCCGTGAGTGTTTATAAAGTTTATAAAACTTAAGGAAAATTGTTGAAAATTCATGCCAGTTCAAGTAATTTTGGTAAAATATGCGGGATCTTATAAAAAATACTGAAATATTCAGGGCCACCTACAGAACTTTATGGAAATTTAAAAATGTTTTGGCAGTTTAAATACTTGATGATGTCCAGACTATTGAAGAAGTTATGAATTAGTGTATAATTTCCATGAACTTCAGAAAAATCTTGATAGCTTCAGTGAAAATTATAGAACTATATTAATTATTTCATTTTGATTCCAAGAAAATTGCGGGAGAGTTAAGAAGTGTTTTCGAACGGAAGGTGTTGCATACCATCTACGGTGGAGTGCAGATGGATAACGGAACATGGAGGAAGCGAATGAAGCACGAATTGCAACTGCTGGGTGAACCTTCCATGGTCCACATTGCAAAAATTGGGTGACTACGGTGGGCTGGGCATGTCGTAAGAATGTCAGACGACGAAAATGGTTCTCAATAGCGACCCAATAGGAACAAGAAGAAGAGGCGCGCAGCGGGCAAGGTGGATCGATCAAGTTGAAGGCAACCTGCGGACCCTTAGCAGACTATGAGGCTGGCGACATGTGGTCATGGTTCGAGTAGATTGAAGACGACTCTTCGGACAGCAGAGGACATTAAGGCCTGAACCTGATTGGTAAGGTAAATATAAATATCGTATATTAGTGAGTAAATAAAAATTTTAAAAATGGTTTTCTTTGAGACATCACATCAGATTGCAAAAAGCTCTCGTCGATGTTTTCCTTTTATTATTTCGCACAAAACCATGTTTCTCCATATTAACATTTAATTTTATTAACTAAACAGATGAAAATTTACCACGTGTCCAAAGTAGCCCATCTTTTTACATTTCGAACTCCGAACTTGATAACTAGGGGAAATGGCTCTTGTTGGCCTATGGACTGGGCCCATCGCTAAAAATCTGCTATTTATCAATTTTATCTAGATGAACGCGTCATTGGGATGGTACTAATGGATATTTCTGGTCGCTATTGAAAATTTAGTCGATTGCTGAATTTATGTATGGGCCCAAATTAGGGGCCGACTTTACATCAATTTCCCCTATATGATGAACATTTTCTTCAATCAGTCTTGATCGTTCATATACTTCTCATTACACACCTTAAAGGTATCCACGTTTTATTATTAACTACTTTAATGATTTCATACATCTCGCTTGCACCTGAAAATTGTCCAAAGAAGCCCGCCATTATGGTACAGGTTTTAATTATAGATCTTCTATTGCATCAACGTTCAATTCTTTAAATATTTATTCAGTAGTCATAGAGTATTTTTAGAAGTTTAAATGTATAAAATGGAAATTTTGTCGGAAAACTTTGACTGTCCCGTCGGTATTTTGAACATTGAACGTTATTATACATACGTTGACAGAACGATGTTTTGCTTAACACATTCAAATTCCCAAAAAACTTAAAACTTTGAATCTCAAGTTCCCCATATGTTATCTGCCCCTGGGTTTTATATCTGAAATACGTTTCACAGCCTTTCGGTGTACCTAAGTATACGAGAAAGATTGAAATAAACATTTCCGACTGCATAATTTGCATTGAATTACAGTCATCTCTCCATATATCTATATTGATAACCTATGGCATCAAGATAAGGAGAAACCATTATTCCTAACAGGGGCTACATTGCGCATCTCGAAACGAAAAACTTTTTCATACAAGCCCAGTACTTCATCAGTCTCCTTGTACGGTTCAATAAGCTTATTTGTTTATCCCGTATCCAAAACTAAACTCAATGCTTTCTAGAGAGAATAGCGAGATATTGAGAACTTGTTGTATGAAAATCTGAAGAAACTGCTCATATAGACAGGATGAAACATCAAAATATCGACTGTGTTACATAATCATTATTGTGTTTTAGTACTTAAATAATATTTTATTTAAATGCATGTAACACCCCCTTATGGGAAAAAACAAGCTCTACCTAATGATATTTAAGAAACATTGTAATTTACTAAGTTGTTTTGATATCCAAAATATTCATCAACCTACCGATATTCTGGTGATGGACAGCCTTGTGCCACACAAAGCAAGACGGCTCCTTCGTCCTGTGACACTGATACATGTGACGTATGCTCTACCACACTAGGAGACACGATGCCCCTTTGATCTGAAATACGAAAATTAGGTGTAAATTAGTAGGGATCTGTTTTATTTCTAATTACCTAATGAGTGTGAGTGATTATAGATAACAGTATCAATTTAAATGATTGGTCACAATTTATACCAGCATGTAATATGCATGAACGCCATAGCTTTGGATTATAATCATATTTTATGACCTTGTATGCGGACTGGTATGGAATGGAAAGGGATGGAAATAGGTCGCAATAAATCTTCAATATCTGAAATCTCTACTCCTGGCTGTCATCTCCGCCTTGCACTGATCCATGAAGAAACCTTCGCCTGTACGCACTCGAAAAGTTCAAACACTACGAAACCAGAGACGAACTCTCGTTTACAACGGAATATTCCCAACCCTGAGCAGGACGGTATATAAGCATAATTTCTCATGGTTTAGATCTTGTGCAATGCCACTGTAAAGATGCTGTCTCCAACCTACTTGTACTATGCTTTTGGTGGCTATCATACAACAGCTTCGCACTTTCATCTGTCAACCATTTAAACGCTTCGTTTAACTTGGTCGGACATTACTCTGCCGCTCTGCCACACTTCAGTCTGCTTCAGCAGCTCCACAACATTAGGTATGGCGTATACTTTTCATCCGCAAACGAGCCTTGATGTACAACCCAGCGTTGTGGTACAAAAGCTCTTCACATTGCTGCCTCTGTCTGTCTGGTTGTCTATCCTGTGTTATTTCCGTTTCAAGTAGAAATGGAAACTGCCAGTGACGTTTCCCCAAAGCTCTCAGAGCGTCTCAAGGCAATTTTCAAAACGGCACGATGGTAAACCGCATGTTGATTTTGTTCGGGTGAATTCAAAAAAGGATTTAATGGCTGTATTTTTACGAGTGTGAAAATCGGGCATGACGCAGTTTAGCTTTTCTTTTTTTAGGCTATAATGTTCTACCTGTTATTTGACGATTGTTCTCAACTAATTGTTCGTTCTCAGAGTACTTCCACAGCTGTTGATAGACTAACAATTTTTGCATTTGTGCATTGATAAACACAATGATACTTCAGAAAGGTGCGAAATCTTCCAACTAGAAACCTTTCCTGATCGGACCGAGAAATGTGGCGCTTCTATTGACTAGACCAGTTGTTTTCAACCTTCTCCGTTCCATTCTCCTCCTACCAAAAAAGAACGCTTCCAATCACTAAGGCTAGTATGGTTGCGTTACCCACCGGTTGAAAAATGCTGGACTAGACTATCGGGAGAGCTTTTCTTAAGACCCAACAAGCTCCATTATGGTAGAACTGTAGAATATTGCACATAAACAAAGTGACATCAGTTTGTGAAAGAGCTTTTTAGCTAAAGCGAAAAATGTTTGAATGTAACATTCTTCCTCCTCATTCTCACTCACAATTTCCTCTGTTGGAGCAACAACTCAAAGCTGGCTTCAAAATTGTGCTCTTTTGTGGAGTATATCAGATTCATATGTAGAAGAAGGAGCAAAACGGAAGTTTCAGATTTATTTGCCAATCCATCATAACAATAGGATTAAGTTTTCGTAAAAAGTCGCTGGCTATGATAAAATATAAGCTTCCGACTGGTGCAGTAACATGGAAAGGGAAAGACAATCGAATCAGAGACAACATGAGGTATGGAGTTTTTGTTTCTTGTAGGGTGTCTGAATCAAAAGGAAAGCCAAACTTGGCAGTTGGAGGGAAATGCAAATTTATGGGCTGTAATTTATTTCTGCTTTGGATTGAGCTTTAAATTGAACTAATACTAGGTATTTTTTTAATTGCCTTGGTAACAAAATATGAGTGAAATTTGATGACTTTGCATTAGTTTTTCAAAGTTTGATGAAGGTTCATGTTCTCTCCGCAAATTCTCCTCCATTCAAATAAATGAAATGTGATCTTATTGCATACAAGTCATCCTGATCCTACTGGTTGATAAAACAAATGCTCATAATAAACTACTTACTGATTGGTCGATCCTTAAATTTGCTCTCTGATCGTGACGTTAGCTAACCAGATATGAGGATTCTAGTTTTTGAGAAAGGATTTGACGTTTTGAAACCCATTATTGTTGTACCACGAATTCGAATCTGACAGCTATCGTTTCAATAAACTGCCACACTTAGGCTTATTCAGCTATAAGAGAAGGTTTGCCGCACTTTGGACATCACTGCATTAGATAAGGCCTATTCATTAAAGAAAGTGGACACATGTTTATCAATGGTTTAGGGTTAAAACTTAACGAAAAATTGTGAATTTTCGCTCAGTGTGTAAAAACATTTTTTATTTTGGCGACACACCTGAAAAAAGTGAGAAATTTCGAACGATGGGTCGAATCAGCCTATCAACTTGCAGATTAATTCTGCACACATGGTTTTCCGAAAAGTTGTCGTTCCGAGAATTGGCAAAAAGCGTGAAGTGCAGTAAATCTACAGTGTTCAAGATAGTTAAGAAGTTTGGAGAAACGTGTTCTCTTGAAGATTTACCGAAGTCTGGGCGCAAAAATAGGGCATCGGACCAAAAAAGGAGCTGGCAGCAGTACGCCTTTTGAAATCGTATAAACCGTGTTCCGTTCGTGAAATTGCCAAAAAATTGGATATTAGCGTCGGAATTGAGCAGCATATAAAAAAACGTAACAATGTCAGTACCTACAAGAAGTAAAAAGTACCCATGGTATTTTGATGGACGACGAGACGTACGTCAAATTGGATACCAGTACACTTCCTGGGCCGCACATTTTCAACGCTCAGTAGAGGACAGATATGTACCTGATGATGTGCGATACATCCGAACCGAAAAAAAGGTTTTGGTGTGGCAAGCCATTTGCTCCTGTGGCTTCAGGAGTTCTTCGTATTTCACAACGGGCACAATCAATAGTTAAAATTACAGAAATGAATGCATCAAAAGCGGCTTCTACCCATCTATCGAAAGCATACGGATCCTCCATTGTTTTGGCCGGATCTGGCATCTGCTCACTATGCTTCTGCTACGTTAGAGATGCTCAAGAAGGAAAAAGTCGATTTTGTCGAAAAATTCCAAAATTCCCCAAGCTGCCCTGAACTGCGTTCTATCGAAAGATACTGGACAGTAATTAAACGGCATATTAAGAAAAATGGAAGAAAAGCAAGCTCTGTTGACTGCTTCAAGAAAATTTGGTCTGCAGCACAACGAAAAGTTAAGAAGAAAGTTGTGCAGAATGCAATGCGCGGTATCAAGAGAAAAGTCCGAGCGTTCTTCAGAAATGAGAAGAAAACATTCAAACTCACGTGAAAACGGTCATATGTATGTTGATTTTCATTTATATAAAGTAAACTTATGAATTTGTTTGATAATAAATATTTTCCTTTGAGAAACAGGTGTCTACTTTCATTAATGAACAGTCCTTACTCCTAAATTCATGTAAATTTCTTTGAGATATAGCGCACATAAAATTAACGCTAGATTTCGCGTAAATTTAGGCGATATTTCATGTAAATATAAGTGCAATTAACGGCGCCAGTGGTGTAGTGGTAAGCGTGATTACCTCTCACCCCAGCAGGCCTGGGTTCAATCCCAGTCGGCGCCGCCGGGATGTTCTGAGGCATAACATCTCTGATCACGCCTTCCTTCGGATGGGAAGTAAAGCCGTTGGTCCCCGGTTCATGAGTTGATGGGTCGATAGGTGAAAATAAGTGCAATTAAGCATAAATTAACAATATTGTATGCAAGCTTGTAAACGATTTCGTTGTTTAAGCCAACTGTAGCTCAAAATTAAACGAAGGGAGATTTTACACGATGGTTAAAATTTAGAATTTTTTTCTGCGTACTTTATCTGTTTACGTTGCCTCAATTTATGCAATTAGAAGCTGAAAGAAGCACAGTTCGAAAAAGTAGTGTTAATTTCTGTTCAATGTGATGTACATAAAAGGAGCGTCACATATCATACAAGTTTAAATTATAAATCATGTAAAGTTCTGAGACATTTCATGCATTGTTGCAAATATTGTATACTAGAGCCCAGTTTTGTAAACAACATTACTTACAAGTTGCTCGTTTGCGTGAAGTGAAATACAAGTTTATACGCATGAATGTTAACATCATATTTAAAATTCAGATTTTTATCTGTGAACGCTCCCTTCCGTTCTATCAATCCCTTCTCAACCAAGTAATTCCTCCCCCGCAGACCTTCCCTGCCTCAAATTAGTTTCTCAACAATTTTCTCTTCTCCCCCCTTTGTTCGAGAGCACCCTTTTAGTGAACACATACATCGCTTGTTTTTGGACCCGACGGAAACACCACGGGTCGAAAAGAAGAATCCTGGCATGAATTGGAAACGAATTCGGTTAAACATCGCGACGAAACAGCTGTCATTTAGCCATCGGAGCAGCTTATACTTGATCATAAATGAGAAGACGGAGCACCAAAAATGGATGAGAACCATCCAACGGGCGGACAGTGCGAATTGTTTGTATTGCAATACTGTAGTTGAAACGCTGGAACACAAATTCAGAGGTTGCCCTCGTGTAGCACGCGCATGGGCTTCGTACAACAGGGGATGACGATGATACTTGGAGGATGGCAACTACTGTCTTTGGATGAATTGATGCGCCCAGCATAGGACCAACAAAACGAAATCAAATTTTGATGATGCTTATATTATACATCACCTATGTTAATGAATTTAACGTTAGAATCGATGTAAGTGCACTAGAATATTATTTAACCCTCCGTTACTCGCGCCTACTTTTGTAAAACGAGTACTCGCGCGTTGTACTTTGTACAACAGTGTGAGTTTTCCATTGCCATTTTGCAGCCGAGCTACCAATCGATATGAAACCAACGGGTATTCCTTAAAAAACTTGTTTTTAACTAAACAAGCTAAACTTTTATCACAGTTTACCCCCAAACAATGCGGATAATAGAGAAAATGTGAATGGAAACCGCGTAAACGGTGTCCGTACTACGTGGGATTTAACTTAATTGGTTACAACATAGAAAATCTCGAGATCCTGACCAGATTGAAAGTTACTGTCTTAGGCAAAGTATTTCTAAAGATCATAAACTTTTCGCTGGTGGAGAGTAGTTCAGAATTTTCTCACTACGTAACGCTAGAATACATGTGAAATTCTCGCATGTGATATATCTAGAGATCTTGACCAGATAGAAAGTTACTGTTGTCGACAAAGTTGTTGATGAGATCAAAGCCTGTTTCTTGGGGCACAATAGTTCAGAATTTTCTCAATATGCGGCGCTAGTATACACGTGAAATTCTCATATAAAATATCTCGAGATTCTGACCAGATAGAAAGTTACTGTCTTCGGCAAAGTTTTTCTGGAAGTCAAGATCTTTTCGTTGGTGGAGTAATTCAGAAAATTATCACTACGTGGCGCTAGTATATACGTGCAATTTTTGCATATAGAATAGCTCGAGATCCTGAGCAGATAGAAAGTTACTGTCTTCGGCAAACTTGTTCAGGGGGTCAAGTATTTTTAGCTGAATGACAGTAGTTCAAAATTTTCTCACTACGCGGCGCTAGTATACACGTGAAATTTTCATATAAAATATCTCCAGATCCTGACCAGATAGAAACTTACTGTCTTAGGCAAAGCTGTTCAGGAGATCCTAGCCTTTTTGCTAGTGAACAGTAGGTCAGAATCTCACTAGGTAGTGCTCGTATGCATGTTAAGTTCTCGCATGTGATACATCACTAGATCCTGACCAGATAGAGAGTAAATGTCTTTGGCAAAGTTGTTCAGGAAGTCAAGATCTTTTCGTTGGTGGACATTTGTTCAGAATTTTCTCACTACTCGGTGCTAGTATCCACATGCAATTCTCGCATATACAATAGCTCGAGATCCTGAGCAGATAGATAGTTACTGTTTCAGGCAAACTTGTTCAGGGGGTCAAGACTTTTTGGCTGGTGGACAGCAGCCCAGAATTTTCTCACCACGTGGCGCTAGTAAACGTGTACAATTCTCGCGCATGCTATAGCTCGAGATTCTGAACAGGTAGAAAATTACTGTCTTCGAATAACTTGTTCATGAGGTCAATGTCTATTGCTTGGTCCAAAATAGTTCAGAATTTTCACACTACGTAGCGTTAGTATACACGCAAAATTCTCGCTTGTAAAATACTCGAGATTCTGATCAGATAGATTTCGCTAGTGGACAGTAGTTCAAAAATTTTCTCACTACGTAGCGCTAGAATACACGTTAAATTCTCGCATGTGGTTTGTTTCGAGATCCTACGCGGCACTAGTATACACGTGAAATTTTCACGAGATCCTGACCAAATAGAATGTTACTGTCTTCGGCAAAGTTGTTGAGGGATCCAAGGCCTTTTGGCTAGTGGACAGAAATTCAATTTTTTTTCACATCATTGCGCTTGTATACACATGCAATTTTCGCATTAGATATATTTCGAGACTTGGTAAACTGTCATCGGCAAAATTGTTCAGGAGATCAAAACTTTTTCGTTGGTCGACAGTATAGAATTTTCTCACTCGCGGCGCTAGGATATACGTGAAATCTTCGCATATATAGTATCTAGAAATCATGAACAGCTAGAAATTTACTGTAGTTGGCAAAGCTGTTGAAGAGATAAAGATCTTTTGGCTGATCAGCAGTAGTTTAGAAATTTCTCAAAACTTGGCGGGCAATTCTCGCATATCAAATATCATAAAATAAAAATACAATTTACATCAGCCTAAGTGGGATAAGACAAATATATTCTGGATTTCTTTTACTGGTGAAGATTTTCATGCAGATTTGTGGATACATAAATTGGGGTGAGTCTTCCACTTGTATACCTCTGATAAATTAGTGATAAAACGTATCTCAGATGGAAAACATTATCCTAAAAGATCAATATAGCTGAAACTTCCACCAAATGAATGTTTAGAGTCTCCCTTTCATTCGAGGCTAATTTCAAAATGTCTTATCGAGGGGTCTAGAAGAAAAAAAATCCCTGTATTTATGTGTGCACGAACAACGAGACTGACTCAGAGAGTGAGGCACTTTTGCTGAGTTGAATGGAGAAATATATAAACCGTACACTCCCGATATAAGTTTAAGGACACCACCAACGTCCAATGTTCGTTCTTTTTAGAACATTTGAAAGATTTTGAATGGAAATACGAAGAGGCAAAGTGCTCAATATCATTTTCAAATGTTGTATACCAAAGGTTTAGCAAAAGTTACAATATTTTTCAAAACTTACTCTGAAGAATCATGATTGATTTTCTCATAATTGACTTAAAAAAAAAATTGAAATAAAAAGTAGTAGTAGAACCCTTATGCCATACAATTACCATTCAAATAACCTAAGTAGATCAAAAATTGGACGTAAAATGAGAGAGCTTTAAACAAAACACATTTATTTGAAGATGATAACTTTCTATCTGGTCAGGATATCGAGATATATCACAGGCGAGAATTTCACATTTCACTAGCGCTAGTAGTGAGAAAATTTTGAACAACTGTCCACTAGCAAAAATTTTGTGAAGTGTACATGTATACTAACGCCACGTGGTGAGAAAATTCTTAACTAATGTTTACCAAAAAGTCTTGACCCCCTAAACAACTTTGCCGAACACAGCAACTTTCTAGCTGATCAAGATCTCGAGCTATTGAATATGCGAGAAAAGCACGTATTTCAGCACCGCATAGTGAGAAAATTTTGAACTATTGTCACCCAACAAAAATATCTTGACTTACTGAAAAACTTTGTCGAATTAATTTATTTTCTATCTGGTCAGGTTCTAGAGATATTTTATATGCAAGAGTTTCATATGTATAGTAGCGCCGCAAAGTGAAAAAAACTCTGAACTACTGGCCACCTGCGAAAAGCCTTGACCTCCTGAACAACTATGTCGAAGACAGTACCTTTCTATCTGGTTTGGAACTCGAGATATTTTATATGAGAATTTCACGTGTATACTAGCGTCACGTAGTGAGCAAATTCTGAACTTTTGAGCGTCAAGCAATAGACTTTGGCCTCCTGAAAAACTTTGTCAAAGACAGTAACTTTCTATCTGGTCAGGATCTCGAGATATATCACATACGAGAATTTCACATGTATACTAGCGCTACGTAGTGAGAAAATTCTGAACTACTGTCCGCCAGCGACAAGGCTACGATCTCCTGAACAACTTTGTCGGAGACAGTAACTTTCTATCGGGTCAGGATCTCGATATATTCCATGTTGTAATCAATTAAGTAAAATCCCACGTAGTTATGGTCACAGTTTACGCGGTTTCCATTTACATTTTCTCTATTATCCGCATTTTTAGGTGTTTACTGTAATAAATGTTTAGCTTGTATAGATCGAAACAAGTTTTTTGAGGAATACACGTTGGTTTCAGATCGATTGGTAACTCAGCAACAAAATGGCAATGGAAAACTCATGTGTGTTGTGCTGACAACGTTTTGTGTCCATTGCTGCCATGGAAGCGCTCTGACCCCCGTTGGCGAATCTGCCATACAAGTAAACCACTGGAAGTGGCTCCCGTTCTGGTGGAGAAGGCTTATTTGATAGTGGAAGATAAAATGTTTATTGTGTTGTACCTTTTGCCTATAGTTTTAAGATGTATTGTATAGTAAACAAGAATCCTCGGCTCTGTAAAGTTAATTCGGTTGAGCCTTATCAAATAAATTAATTAAAAAAAAAATCCGATCCCAAATTGAACCCAGGACTTTTGATGTGAGAGGCAATCAAGCTTATCAGTACACCACCGGCGTTGCTAGGGTCCTTGTTTATGTCACGACCCCAACTTATTTCTTATACCACAGTTCCAAGTGTTAAAAAAACCGCTGAGCTCTAGGATTATCCGGCCATCCGGAACTATGTTTAATTCACGACCCCAATTTATTTCTTATTTCACGGTTCCAAATGTTTTCGAAGAAACCGCGGAGCTCTAGGATCAGTTTCATGGATGGACCACTGTTACGGATGTTCCGTATCTTCCGGAGGACGGTTCCATGGCCATCCAGGTCCATGTTTATGTCATGTCAAAACCCCATATTATTTCTTATATCACAATTCCTAATGTTTAAAAAAACTCGAAGCTCTAGGATCAGTTTCGTGGATTGCTGAATAAAACAGGGTCCGGAATTATTTTCTGAAAAAAGCTCATGATCGATGGATGCATCAGTGGAATATGTTTGCTATCTATGGTGTGATTAATTAATTTTTCAAAAACTGTATTTTGAACATTAATCTAGAAGATTTTTAATTGGAGATGCAAATGCACAGGTCTAGGTCAGGAGAAAGGATTTCTTTCACCATTTGCTCAATTTTACAGAAAAAAATCTTAATAATCGAAAGGATGTTGCGACTTTCAATAAATTTTCTGAAGAAAAACATGATGATAGCAAATTTTAAATTCAACATCCAAGTTTTCAATAATTTTTGATTTTGTTAATATATTTGTTACTCTTGAACGGACCAGACCTTAGTTGGCAAATTTGATTAATTTGAGAGGAACAATTTCATAATATAGGTGCCATTTATATTTTGAATATTTTATTAATTGATGATGTGTCTTTTCTAAAAGACGCCCACAAATTGGGCGCGATGCTGCTACCAAAATGCGATGCTCGAAGCGGAATTCAAAGATCCATGATGAGTTTGTTAGTTGAGTATGTGGATATGTAATGTTTTTTTTTCTTCTATTGATTATGAGTAGTTGAACTTACCATTCATTCGTATCTTCGCTGCACTGCTGGTGACGACCTGCCGCGTTAGTTTATGCATCGTCCTACACCGGTACGAGGGATACCGGTCGTTATACTCTAGATTGTGCACTAGAAGCTCGCCTGTGGGAAGCAGGTGATATTTTCCATCTGAGGAATGAAACAAAAACAAAACGAACAACAAACTGTTAGAACGAAGTTCATCGACCTTGTTAATCCTCCGCTCGACAAAATGTCACTTACCACCCTGCAGCGAGGGATAGATGTAGAAGGCAGGTTCCTGCACCCAGGACACCACCCGTACTAGCTCCTTAACAAAATTAGGCACTACACAACGCAGAATAGCGGTACAGCCTCGGGACGCTGCCAGCATTTCGACGTCAACTTTGTACGCTTGAGCAACCACTGTTCGTCGGTGATGATGGGTGACGTTGCATGTAGATGAAGAAATCAAGGAAAATTGGAAAAAGAGAACAAACGGTTGCATCATTAGTGACGGTGTGATCATTACTGTCTTAATGAACTTGAACGCTTCAAAGATAATCCTGATGAAAGTGCAGGATGCGCCAAGGGACCCGGTTGATTGCAATAAAAAAAATATCATATTGAATTTCACTAGTCAATAACTTCTGATTATGGGATTTAAGCACACCAAAGTTTAAGCTGCTTCCACCGTGCATTATAGAATTGAGGTATAGAAAAGCGATCTTAGCTATAATTTATCAGGCAAGCGATGTTCCACATTCCTTCCACTACACGTTGCTACAATGTAATCATCTCGAGGCATTATGACACCTCTTCTGCTATTCATGATGAGGGCGCTAAAAGTTTTACATGCATACATTCTCTGCTGCAAGCTACTTTACCAGGTGATGAGAAACTTGTACACGGTCTGAAGCTTGCAGATCGTTTAACATTACTGCTGTGAATACTGACGTCGGTGACAAGCAAGGCTTCCAGTTGCAGATAAAATCTTTTCTTGTCTTTGGAATTAAACGTCTTTATGAAGAATGGTTTTCTTCAAGTATGGAATAAAATGGGATTTCCTGTATTTAATGCAATTAAGTTCTTTCTCAACTGAATTTTTTGCTCGTTGAAACTTTAATGTTGGGCGATTAAACTTGAACATACCTCCAATTACACATGAACATAAATGTCCTCACAAAGTTAATGAAAACCGTTCCCACAAAACAATCTGTAGGGTAGGATGGTGCAAAACGCACCGTTTAAGCAAAATTGTCAATTGCTGCCGTATGGAAGCTAAAATCAAAGAAAAAGTAATGGTGTATGGTGTATTACCATTAGAGTGATGCAAAATTTGAAATTTTCGCTCCACAATACTTAAACGATTCCAAATCCGATCCTGACTAACCTCTCAAAATTTGAACCCATTTGGTGAGAAACTGAGATAGTACAAATCATTTGAAGTTTGTATGGGAATTTCTATAGTAAAAGCAAGATTTTTGTTCATGTCTATCTAATAATTCACCATATCGATCTGCTTCAAAAGTTTTCAACTACTTGTAGAAAATTTTCCCAGCTACAACTTTGCTCAAGACCACTTTTTGATTAAATGAAAGGATCGAACGTTATCGATGGTTCAATGCGCTGATGTCTTATGATCATGCTCAATCAACTGCTCTGCAGGCAACATTGGTGTTTCTGGGGCGTTGAATAGGACACAAAAGTCATGGCTACTATGTCACACTGCAAAATACAGTGTTGCCTACAGAGCAGCTGCTTGATCATGTCATAAGTTTACCAATCTCTTAAATAATTAATAACTTTTTCCTGTCTCGTTTTACATTGAAACATTTTTTAGCAAAGTTATAGCTGAGAAAATTTTCTATAAGAAAGGCTATCGAACTGTTTCGCAGTCCAATATGGAAAAAGACTAGAAGGCAATGAACAAAAAGTTGAGATTTCCCATAGTAATTTACATGTAAACTTCAAATGGCTTGTGCGAAGTCTGTTTCTAACCAAATTAGTTGTAACTTTGGGAGGCTAATCAGGACCCGATTTGAAACCATTTAAGCACTGTGGAGCGAAAAAGTCAAATTTTGCATCAGTCTAATTACCATGTTTTCTACGACGATCATTCAAGGCATTTTTTTTCCAAAATGAAAGCGGGGCAAAACGCCTGATTCATGGTGCAATATGAACCACAAAATTGGGACAAGACGCACGACAAAAATGGCCAAAACGCACCACAACATTGGGGTTAAAATGCACCGCATAATAGACAAACCATAGCCCCTGAAAGTAGAGATTATTCCTTTCTGTTACATCAGAAATAAGGTCTCAATAGAGTGTTAAACTGTGATTCATGAAGTAAAACATCTAAAAAATATAGAAAAAGGGAATTCGTTCCATTCTTTTTATAAAAGCTTAATTTGCACTCGATGATTTTAACAGCAGTGGCATGTTTTGTTCAAAATCCAATTTTTTTTTTTAAAGAAATCTAGTTATGATCAGAAATTATTTGTGAAACCTCCAGTTGAAAACAAACATAATCCGTTGCCCGGAAAATGCATCTGAGGGAGAGTTATCGTTATTTTTCTATAAGTGGGCATTTTACCCCAGGGGTGCATTATGGGCTGCTCTCCCTTACCTGGAAATTTACCTCTAAACTATGCTTACACTGTTGTGTGCGACTAGCAGACTTTTCCAACATGGCAAAGATGCATCCAGAGTAATTAGCGAACCAACATCGTGTACGCCCGACAAGAAACTGGAAGAAGGATCATTAGGTTAGGAGGGGCGTCAATGCAGCTATGGTGCCTACCTACCAACCGGAGTAAATTGAATGAACGGAAAAGAAGTGGAAAACAAGTACGAAACATGCTCCGGGGAAAGCCAGTTCATTAAGAGATGCCAACGAACAACCCTTTGGGCGTAACGTTCCATTTCCTTCCGGACCCGCAACCTCACTTTGGATAGGTTTTTTCATTTGATTTTCCTCCAAGTTTAACATTTTTAATTACGTACTCATTCTACCTCAGTGACACCTTATACCAACTTCTGTTTTGCTTCAAATTCCCCGTCGATGATTCCAGAAAATTAAGGAGATTTTTTTATATTCACCTTTTCCATGCACATAGCCGCCAATTATACCAAGTCGACTCGAAAGCTCAGCCAAAAGCACAGAGCAATCTGCACTCGAATTCACAATTTATGTCGTTAACTTAAAATTCAATTATACAAAAATACGAGTGAGAAGCAGAGACGGATATAAACGTGCGCGGATAAAATTTTGTCTTTTCCGGCTGACTGTTTCTATATCGTTTCGACGCTTTTTTTTATCGGACTACAAATGAATTCCTCACCCTCGAAACCAGTCCCTCCATGATCCCATTCAGCGGCCCTAATTGGAGTTCTCTTCTTTCGGTATTTTTCACTGTTTCCATTTTTCTCATTCGAGCTTGGTCACATTTCAAAACCCTTTTTCCATCTGTGGACCATCTGCTAGAATTCATTATACAATTAATAAAGAAGAGAATGCGATGTTGCTTTCAGAAACAGTTTCACTTCTCTATTTTTATACATTAGTGAACCTGGTGGTAGGGAGTAAGTTTTTGCATGGGCGGAAACAAAATAGTATGTTATGATACAAACATTGCTTCTATGCTGCCGTGTGACAACAATCCCAAGCAACACACATGTTATATAATAGTTTATTTAACCTTTACATTGCTGGTTTTGGTTGTATAGCAGTTTACTCAATATAATTCTATGAATTTGTGTAACTTGGGATGTGACGTACACGCCAAAATGCACATTGCTCACGAGAAGCTTTTTTATGTTCAAAATTTTTATCACAGCTTAATTTTTGACGTAGACTACGAAAATCTAAAATTGCTACCGCCACGAAAAGGTGTTAGGTTTTGAACGCTATGTCATTTATAGATAAAATTAAAATCCAATTTCAATTAGATCGATTGGAAATATCTCTACAAATCTGTTGAAATAAATACTTTTTGAATTTTTCTTAAAAAATACTTTTGAAAAATGTACAAATAAAAAGTGACAATTCTATCACGTTTTCATGAAATAAACGTTTTACCCAAACCCAGTCGTCATTATCGAGTACCACTTTGTTACACATAGCTCTTCTTGAACCTGAACCAGAGAGTTCTACATGAAATTCTCAAGATTCTTGCGAGTTGTCTGTACAGAAAAGATGAACAACATATTTTTTATCATTTTGAAATACCACAAAACGTCAAAAAATATTACGATCAAATTTCAAGAGCAACCAATGTTTTGGTGATAAAATGTTGTATTCTGATGTTTATCTGTTTCGTTCCTCTTCATTAGCTATACTTCTTCAGTGTGTGTTAGACGGGGTGTCGTCTAGGGATAAGATGGACCACTTTTGACCGGGTAAAAGCACCACCCTTTTTTACTGCGTAGTGTGTTTGTAGCAAAAATGCTTAAATGATATAGTTTTAGTCCATAATTCCTAATACTTTAAAAAGTTGATAATCTTTGCATACTATGCTCACAATAGAACGTAAATTTTATCATGGCAAATTTAATATAGCTGCTTTTTTTTCTAGGCTTTTTACGCTTCTGGAGCGTTTTGCCGGCTCTCAACGTGGTGTTCAAGATACATTTCCACAGTTATTAATTTAGAGCTCTTGATACCAATGCCACCAATGCATAATTTTGTATATTGTGTGGCAAACACAATGATACCAACAATCAATACGAAACTAATGATTTTAAATTGGCTCACTACTTGACTAGCCTATTGGTCCCAAGGTAACGATTAACGTATCCCATTCTAGTCGAAATTCTAGTACTACGCAATGTTTGTTTTGATTCGCTATGAAAGTTTGAGAGATAAAATGGGGGGTTATTGGTTTTTCCTATGTTTCGAGGGGTGAATCGATTAGCTTGGGACCGAAGATAGTACCAGAGCTGAGCCAAAAAGTTGAGCACGTTATTTCGGGACCTTCTAGTCTTAGAGTTACCTCTATGATGATACTCTATGCTGAATCCGTCGCTTTCGGCTTGGTAATATCGTGCCTTTACTGACAAGGCTATCTGAGGCCCAATATTGGTTGGAATTTTAAGATTAATTTCGATTTAATACAATTTATGATTATATAAAAAATACATATTGTTGGTAGAGGCAGATTTCATGTGTGAGTAAGTGATGAACATTGTTATGTGCAATTCACTTTAAAAGGTGCGTTTCACATTTCATCACATGTAGTTCCAAAGAGCCTGAACGAAATGTGGCGCTTACGAAGATCACTTGAAGATACGATATGACGGAACATTGATACTAACTGTATAAAACACATGTAAATTCTTCCAGAAATTAGTTAGGATAACATATTGAGAAATGTGTTAATTTTCAGCGAACAAATGTAATATTGCATCGAAATACTTTAAATCGTGTTAAATTTAAATGTTCCCTCACATTTCACATCCGTTTAACCATTCTGAACGGTCATCCCGTTGTGGTTATATCAAATCATTGCTAATAAAGGGTGATACGGTCAAAATTTGGTCAATATCAACTTGACGTATTTCTTTCAATTTTGCATTTAAAAACCCTGAACACCCCTCATTTTGAAGGTGTGTGTGTGTAGAATGTTGCTCCTATTTTGATTTTGGAATTCACTCTTCAGTTGTCGAAATGCCGTCCAAGCAAGAAGAGCAGCGTATCAAAATTTTGCTCGCGCATCGCGAAAATCCGAGCAACTCGCACGCAAAGTTGACAAAATCGCTAAAAGTTGCCAAATCAACCGTTACAAATGTAATTAAAGAGTTTGGGGAACGTTTGTCGACAGCCAGGAAGTCTGGATCGGGGGGAAATCGAAAACCGGAAGCCGCTGAGACGACAAAGAGAGTTGCCGGTAGTTTCAAGCGAAACCCTAACCTCTCTCTCCGAGATGCCGCAAATAAGCTGGGTGTATCGTCTACAACCGTGCATCGAGCCAAAAAACGAGCCGGACTATCGACTTACAAGAAGGTAGTGACTCCAAATCGCGATGATAAACAAAATACGACGGCCAAAGCGCGATCCCGGAGGCTGTACACGACGATGCTGACGAAGTTTGACTGCGTGGTAATGGACGACGAAACCTACGTCAAAGCCGACTACAAGCAGCTTCCGGGACAGGAGTTTTATACGGCAAAAGGAAGAGGAAAGGTAGCAGATGTTTTCAAGCACATGAAACTGTCAAAGTTCGCAAAGAAATATCTGGTTTGGCAAGCCATCTGTACCTGTGGCTTGAAAAGCAGCATTTTCATAGCTTCCGGGACTGTCAACCAAGAAATTTACGTGAAAGAGTGTTTGAATAAACGTCTACTGCCTTTCCTGAAGAAACACGGTTGTTCCGTACTGTTTTGGCCGGATTTGGCATCTTGCCATTACGGTAAAAAGGCCATGGAGTGGTACGCCGCCAACAACGTGCAGGTGGTTCCCAAGGACAAGAACCCTCCCAACACGCCAGAGCTCCGCCCAATTGAGAAATACTGGGCTATTGTGAAGCGGAACCTAAAGAAGACCAAAAAAACTGCTAAGGGCGAGCAGCAGTTCAAGGCAAACTGGCTTTCTGCGGCGAAGAAGGTGGACAAGGTGGCTGTACAAAATCTGATGGCAGGGGTCAAGCGTAAGGCCCGGCAATTCGGATTTGGAAAAGCGGAAGCCTAACTGAATATTTTTCCTGAATTTTATACTAATTGAACTTGAAAAAGAAATTTAATTTGATTTTTTAAATAAACGATTTCACCGATTTACACGCGTTTTCCCTTGACCAAATTTTGACCGTATCACCCTTTAATGTATACATCTATATCTTTTCCGGTACCATGAAGTCATCAAAGTAAAAGTGAAATAAAAGCTGCGTTAAGAAAATACCCGAAGACACTGTCCATTTTCCGCATTGGTGTTACGGTTTTATAAGACGCAACTAGGAACTCAAGATCATCAAACAAAGATAATGGACGTCGAAATATCGTAAAACACATCAGAAATAAGATGGGAGACTTTCGGGAGACTAGTAGCGACTAGCAGTGATGCAGAGAAGGACAACGAGTTCAGGCACGAAAATCTGACAGAAGGGTGAAGAAACAGCGAATATTGGTGAGATCGTTTTAAATTTTAAATTTTTATTATTGCTCATGATGTGATGTGATGTGAATAGAACCCACCATCAGTGCAAGGATTACCTATGACTGCAGATACTTCACTGGTTGTAAAGTCCTGCCTGATGGTTTGTTGCAGCAGGGTGAATCAACTTCATTGAAGACCTTTGGAAGACAAACGACAAGATGTACATCTATCAACACGTGACAAGGGACTGGCAAATCCACGAACCCTTGTCCAGTCTACAAATCCTTTGAAACCCTCAGGCTGATGGCTGAGGCTGATGGGGAGAGTGAAATTGTCAACTCTCTGTTGTTAACACCTCGTGTAAAAAGGGCGGGCTCTTCTCCACACTCATTGGGGTATCCTTCTGTCGGACGGTTCGTTTTTTGACCATTTGTATGATCATGTGGCTGGAAGGAGATTCTCTACCATCCCGAGGAAGCGTATAGGTAAATTTACCTATCGATCCACCAAACCCATTTTTTGCCCTTCATACAGTGACATGTTGAGGACAATCAGAGGCTATTAAGCTTGATCAAATCAAACAGTGTGAAGCGCCCACTGCTATCGGACTTAGTTTCCGTGCTACAATTAGTGGTAGACAATTATCATACATCATACATACTATGAGTTTTGCCTTCCGAAATTCAACTGTACAAAAATCACCGAGGAGTTGTCAGGTTCAAAATTATTTGCTTTATATTTCAACATCGTTATTCATTATTATTGTATCAGTGGATGGAAAGCTAACACATCATACATCAAGTACCTATGCTTTCAATGGATCATTGAAGATGCTGAGGTTTTGACAGCACCGTACTGTGGCTACCACAGTATTTTACATTGGTTCGTCCGTATACAGTAGCGCCAAATGAAAACTGTGGTGGGTTCAAAACTCAGCCATCTAAAATGATCCATTGATGTTTGTGCAGATGTTATAAGTTTTAAGCTGGAATGTTTTTTTTCGGCGTTGTGAATATAAAGGCGTGAAAATGCATGAGAATCTCAAGCGTGAGACTTGTTTGTCACATTCACACACGAGTTTTTTCTCTCAGGGTGGCTCAATGAATAATATTTTAGAATGATTTTCCGAGCATTGTCACTATTCCATGCTTGTTAGTGAGTTGCGATGCGAAGTGTGAGCGGTGATGTAAACAAAGACAAGAAAATTAATATTTTTAAGCAAAATAACTAAGCAAATTGAAATAGATCGACTCCGCACCACTCAGGTTGTAATTAAATTAATCTCGATTACTTTTTTAAGGGGCGTATCTGCTTTTGTAAACAAAGATCTAAACATCAACTCCTAGCACTCCAACGCAAACTAACATCCCAACATATTGTTCGGGAAACCGACACGAATGACCATACAAAGAACCATTCAATTTCTGATCAAAGCACAAAACTGACATCTACGTTCGCGAAAAATGTGTATCTTAGCCACGAACACCCATACAAAATGTATGAGTTGGTTCGTGTCTTATCTATTCCGGGCAAATTATTTTTATCTAGATATAAAAATGCTATGCTTTTGACAGATGGGGTCGCTGCACATTTGAATTCGCCGTTATGGATTTTCGATCAAGAGTTAAATTTAAGTTTCATGTCGGTTTGTCGGTGGTGTTAGTTTGCGTGGAAGTGCTAAGAGTTTCGCCATATCCACGTTTGCATCTTTGTTTACAAAAGCAGATACGTCAATTAAAAAAAAATGTTGATAGAAGAAAATGAATAGAAATAGTTGTTCAAATCGAAAAACATTGCTCGAAATCGATATTTTCCGGGGATATAATCAATCTTTGAAAAGGAGCCTAAGCTTATTTCCAAACCTCAAATAATTTCAACATGCACTTCAAATCTCAATCGACATTTTTAAATCAGATCTAAGTAAGATATTTTCTATATTTAAAGTAATAGAATAGCTCCCGCGCGAAATTTATGCAAATGTCGCAAATGGTTATACAATATAACTTATATTAGGCAAAATTATTTTTATCCCTATTTTATTGTTTGCTGAAAGAGTATGCCATAGGGCATGTTTGGTGAACATAATTTGTGAACAATTCAAGTTTGTTTTTCATGTAAACGGGCCGCATCCGAAAATACACTAAAATTCAATTTTTTTTTATTGGCTCTCCGATGTACGCAAACTGAATCAGAGATATCCCTTCATAGTCTGCATTGCAGGTGCAGGGCATAGCAGATGAACGTCCGTACCTTCAGGTGAGAAATCATTTCCATCCGGTCGTTTTCGAAGTCACGCGGTAACTGAATTTACCAATATCCTGCAAGTCAAGCAAAAGTTGTGCTGAGCATAAGAGCTCACCTTGCTCAGACGTGATGTTCCATCTAACTTCCATCATCATTTTCTCGGCTCAATCATCAGCGTCAGAATCGTCGTCATTTCGTGTCTTCATCATCATCTCGTTGACGGTTGTGGTGGAAGGTATTTCTCTTCCAGTCAGTACCTACTAGTACTAGTTGGCGAGTCACTCATCCAAAAGCGATGCGATGACTACGAAGACGACAACGACGTGATGTCCTGGGGGCGTAGGAATTGAGTTGGACCAAGTCTGGTAAGTGTGATGGAGAAAGAGAGGGTAGGCACTGCAAAGGCGAAAAAGATGGCAGAAGTTCGGTACAGAAATTTCAGGAATTAATTCCAATCACGTACTTTGAGATTTCGTTTATAATGTGATTGAGATCGTGTTCAAGCGGAACAATTTCCAACCCGGCGGAGTGAGTGAGAGTTTTTCTGCTGTTTTGTTCGACTCGCTGCGCCCCGACAAGTGGCCAGGGTAGACAAAATGATAGGGGATGATAATGGCTGTTATCCTCTGGTCGTTTCTCGGCATTAGTATAGAAGTTTGCTGCCAGATGGTGAGTGTTTGTTGTTTGGATAATGAAATTTTTGCAGTTTGCTGTTATGTTTTTGATGTTTCTGCGGATTGTTGCTCCGAGATTTAAGCTTTCGACGCATCCTGGCACTCGAAGTCGACATCAAATCAGAAAATTCTAGGGGGAAACGGTCCAAAATGCACCAGCGGGGTAAAATGGCCTGATTTCCCATAGCTTTTCCATTCCTGGATTTGGGACTTTTTGTACAGAAATGCTAGTTTAAGCACAAAACTAGCTATTCTGCTCGTCAAATCCATGAATTTAGAAAAACCACATCGGGCTATTTATTCCTCTCTGGTATATTTGGGACTGTCTTCTCCTATGTGGTGCTATCATCTTACCTGCTCGGACTTGAACGTCCCGGGATATTACCCGTCCTACAGTGTTAGATGCTACGCATCTATAGATTGTATTATGAATATCCTGCCGGAAGGCAGCAGCAGGAAATGGTAGCAGCACTAGGGTGCCATTCCGTAGCACTCGTCGTACTCCACCAACGTCACCGACGGACGTTCCGTCCACCGAGAGCCAGTCTATAGTGGGTTGTGGGCTACCCGAGGCCGAACAGTCCAACCAACCGCCGGAAGAATTGGAGAATTCGAGTCGAGGAGGTGGTTCCATAACGAAAGAAGGTCCCCTCAGATGTGAGTCGAATGCAAATGTGAAACCTGTAAAGATAGTAAAGGGATTGATTATAAATTTGATTGATTGGGATTGATTTTATGTATGGTATTCTTCAAGAACGATTAAATTTGAATCTGGTTGACATTTGGTCGATTTAGTAGGGACATCACTCAGACATTTTACAGATCTACTGAACAAGGTTGGTAATAACATTCAATTCTCCTTAAAGCAAATCACCATTAATGTCGTACAATGATGTACGTCCGATGAAGTCAATAGTTTTAGAAAATGTTTTGCAATAACGAGTTGTAACCGCTAGAAAAATTAACTTAAAAAATATAAACCGTTTATCCCATCCCAGGATAGGTTAAGTGAGCTATTTTTCATTCTTTCCAAAATTTATTTCGAAACAAGCTTAGAACATATAGAGTGGAACACTACTTCGTCGTATGGGACTCATTTCCGTCTCATCACAATCTTTGCTCATGAGTTAAATTAAGACTACTGTTAAATAAATTCTACGGGGAAGAACGAAAGGAAGTGATATGTACTATGACGAAGTAGTGCCGCACCATATTTTGCCATCCTTTACTTCCACTCACTTGCTATAAAAAAATGTTTTTCGGAATTATGAAATCATGAAATAGTATAATGCTAATTAGTACTTGTAAGTTACAAGAAGAGGTCATGAAGTATAAGTTTGACACATAAAATCTGTCAATATTGCTTTCAGTGCGTCACAATCAGCGATTTTACGACTCGTGAGCGCTCACTCTGAGTGAACGCTCTAAGATCGCTTTTGTGACGCTCTGAAAGCGAAATTGACAGGTTTTATGAGTCAAACACATACCTTACACCCTCTTCTTGTTACTTATTAGTACAACATATCGTTATAACATCTAATGATTGCATAACTAAAAAAAAAATGTTTTATAGCGAGTGAGTAGAAGCAACCTTGTTTGCCATATAGGGGAATTTACGTATTCTCGGCAACCTAAGCAGCGACCTTCTTTCTATAGCCTTTTTCTCTAAGGAACGCACACATATGCAGTATTGGTTTGTTTACATTCTTTTGCTGCCAGCTGCTCTAACAATTTCAGTCGAAAGAATTGTCAAAAACTGTTTTGAAACGCTTTTACAAAGCTCCAATATTCTCTAGTGAGAGCGAGTATTGTCGGCAACCAGTTTTTCTTCGGCAACCGTTCCATTTAAACTGCATGTAAATCTGCTGTTCTATTATCGGCAACTCGAAATCAGCTACAATTTGTAGTGCGTGTGTTGCATTTCAAGAAAACCTTGCTAGATTGCTTTTTCTCAGTGGTTAAAATATAGTCAAATTGAAGCTGAAAGCATAAAGAATCGTTTGCATGCATTCAGCGAAATGTTTTCGTAAGAAAATCCAGTGAAAATAGTGTTTTAATTTGGGTTGCCGAAAATAGTCTGTCATGCCGAAGCCGTCATTTCCCCTATCTACGCAAACAAAATCAAGAAAATTTAATTAAATTTGATTTAGGCCTAAGGGCCAAAAACTGTAGCACTATAGTGCTAAAGCTGGTGCACTGACCATATGATGTTTTGAATGATGTTGTTCAACAAGGTAATATGTTTTTTTATGATTTCTTATTGGTTATTAAAATTCTTAAGTTAAAATCTGGACACAGAATTTATTTTATAGCAGCGATCAGTTCTGGAAAGCTTTGTCAGCAGCTACAAGTGTTTTTGACCCAAGGAGATATACAATAAATTTCATACCTTATAACTGCCAGGTAGTTATGGAAGAATATCAAAGTCAGTTGTAATACTGATGTTAAAATCAATAGCAAAATGATAGTAAAAAAAAAACATAAAAACATCACATGGATTTTGGCACGTGACCTTCACTGCTGTTTAACCATTCAGCTCTATTTATATGTAGTAGAGGATGGAATAAATGCCCAACAGTTCCTTCGACACTCGAAGTTGTATACTGTTCAATGATTAGCGTTAACCGCACCACCTTAAAGTCCTCTCTCCTAGCAAAGATTGACACTTTCTTAAGGGAATTTGGTGAAATGAAAGTGAAAGAAGTGGAAATAAAAGAATACTTTTGCGAGAGCACAGGCAGCCACTGACAAAGGTTTGCACGGCATGTATTATTTTATAAAAGACTTGTGGATCGCGTTGGGCGAAATGATTTTCATAAGATGTTTGCGAAAATCACATTATTAAGTATTTTGCAATTTTCGCAATATTTTTTACATTTGGGTGTATTGAGGTCACGCATATCTTTTGAAGCGTGTATGGAGACTTTGGGATATTTTTGAAATTCACTTCCATCGCTCTATCTTTGGTTCAAGTAGTCAGAATGCTGTCAATATTTTATATGCGGTTGACATGACAACGATTAACAAGTCTGCCTGTGATAACAAAAACAGGATTGTTGTTCATTGCAACCTCATATAAATCCATTTCATCTTTTGAACAACTGGAACCAAAGATTAAACGACATAAGTGATATTTGGACTGCTTCCACACCAAACATACTTCAAACTATTTACGCAACCTCTAAACCTTTATCAATTGTATACTTGTACTATATTTTGGGGGTTATGAATCAAACTGGAGGAAGGCTAAATACTTTTTACATATTGAAGCACCCTTGCATGCCAGGAAGCTTCTCGTGCCGTGATCCGCTGGTAATCTGATCGTTTTAAATCTGAACACTTTTTAATTTGTTCACCGCTAATTTGCACGACGCACAGTGGGAGAAAGCTAAATAACGACGGTCAAACATATTGTATAGCCTTTTTTGACGTTTCAGAGTCTAAGTTTCTTGGTAGAAGTTGCTCAAAATGATATTCCGCATTTTTTGAACTCCTGAATAATAATACACACATACAAATTCTAACTTTTTGCAGTTATACATCTTCGATAAAGTTGCAGAGCAGTTAAATTTATGAACATATGCTGACCAGTGCTCAAAATCTCGACAATAAACATGGCCAACTACAACAACTCAGCGACTAAATTCAATTGAACATTTTCTTTCCATACGAAATTTACTCATATTTAAAAAAGAAAAAATAGTTCTGCAGTTACTCATAACTAGTGAGTAGCTGCAGTTTTTTTTTCAAATATGAGTAAATTTCGTATGAAAAGAAAATGCTCTGAGCTTATTGAATTCAGTCGCTGAGTTGTTGTAGTTGGCCGTGTACGGTGATACCGACTATTCTGCTTTGGTCACTCATTTGAGCTAACAGTCACAGTCAAAGCAAACCATGTCAATTGTCAATGACAATGCAGTGACGAACATGTGTAGATTTCTATATTAACTAAATTTGTAACGACATTAAATGACTTGACTTAGCCGGCGCCGGTGGTGTAGTGGTAAGCGTGACTGATTTCTAACACCCCAATGGGTCTGGGTTCAATCCCAGCCGAGGTCGGTGGGATTTTTCTGAGGCATAAAAATCTCTGGTCACGTCTTCCTTCGGAAGGGAAGTAAAGCCGTTGGTACCGGCCCATGTGTGTTGAATGGGTGCGATATCCTACGCAGGTGTGGAAGCTGCCTTCCTGCACATTCGATTGCTGTCAATGGATGGCAATCAATGTCCGTCGGTTATTGGCACTAGATTGCGGAACAGAGACCGACGTTAAATAAAGGAAAGAAGAAGATTAAATGACATGAGCAACACAATTACAGGGAGCCGTTAATGTGAAGAAGCATCTACGCTTTGAACTGCTTGGATAACAATACTGTGACACAGAATGTACGAAATAACACCTATTGTTACCAGGTGAATCTTTGTCAATGATGAAAAAATGAATGAGATTTTGACGAAGGTTTTTTTGACGATTAAGTCTGCACAGAAAAAAATCTGAATTTCAACTATCGTGTAAAATCTCCCTTCATGTAATTTTGAGCTATACTTGGCATAAACAGCGAAATCGTTTACAAACTTGCATACAATATTGATAGTTTATGCGATATTGCGCTTACATTTACACGAAATATCGCGTATATTTATGCCACATCTAGCGTAAATTTTAGTGTGTCAGTGACTATGTGACGAACAATTTTGTCAGTATAGCGCGAAAGTCTGTCAATAACATTGACAAATCTCAGCACTGATGCTGACGACACCAAGTTTCTACACCTTAACTCTAAAAAAATATAATTGATTTTTGGATAGGACTACCTGTATATTACTTTTTGAGGTTTTTCAAATTTGATCAATTCATCAAGATTATTTTAACATCATTGAAATACACAACTTTACTGAACACACCAATGTGATATACAGCCCATCAAGCGTTTTGTGACGTCATATTCAACGGCCCGAAAAGGTGGGCCTTGGCGGGGTCTAAAACCGACTGTATTTGGAAGATTACCTTATAAACTAGTATTTACTCCTGAAAATTTAAGCTTCGGGTATTGAGGGTTACCTAGTCAATTCTTCAAAGATTTAACCCTTCTTACTTATTTAAAAACCGACTAAAACCGAGTAAGAGAAGCAAGGTAATTTCTGAATGATGTGTGGGTTTTTGTTCGAATTTTCATGCGTTACATTTTGACTCATTATGATGTGATTTTATGTGAATTCAGATTACTCCATATTCTGGTCACTTTCCCGGTGGTACCCGGAGCTTGTGTGGCTAATTGAACTTTCAGGCGGTATGATGCATTGCAAGATAAGTTTTAACTTATTTCAAACTCTGGTCACTTCGTGAGGGTTCCCCAATACATGGCCGGGTATGGCCAATGTGAATCCTGGTTCAAAGTAGAATGGTCAGTAAAATTTATTTTAAATTTTCATGTGATTTGATGAATCAAATGAAACATTTTAGTTTAGTCAAGTTTTGGCTTCCCCGAAGGTACCTGGAACATGTTCGGTTCTGATCATTGTGGGCTTGGGAACTCAATATGACCATGTGATTTAATGTGTTGAAAATTATCAGTTTTTTCTCCCTTAGTAATTCCTGGCATAGATCCTGGCTAATTAATTATCCGAAAGTGAGTTTTTCGTAGAAGAAAGTGTAGTTTTCGGCGTCATTGGAAGAAAAG